CCTAATGCCGGTAAATAATAATAAAAAAGTGTTTGTTTTGATGTTTGGAGTAGCACGTCTCAAAATTACAGAGTATCTCCTAGACACAGGCAAAGATTCAAGGGGCGCGTGTAACACTCTTTCATTCTTGTTTAGAAGACACAGAGTTTCGAAAATAATGTTGTTGCTAAAAATATTGTTTGAGCTTGTTAATGTACAACAAATTTTTCAAAATCACTACGTCCAGCTAGAACGGGTCGGTGACGTCCTGGACTGCCGTACACACTTAAACACTCCAGGCTAACATATTACTGAGTTTCAACCACCATAGTATTTCTCAGATCCACAGTTTAATTTCAGGATACTCCTTAGGAAATGATCTAAGGAGTGTATGTCCAGAGATGAAAGAGGCCATGAATGAAGTTTCTCCTCAACATATCCAACGACCTAAGTATGTTTTTATCAAAAAACTCATGCACAACCATCCAAAGTTGCCCGAGTTTAATAATATATAAGAAACGATCCTATTATATTTAAACGAATTGGAGAAAATTGAATTCTAGCTGGGGCTAGTTATTTCGAACAATTTTCTATTCCTATTTTTTTGTAATAACTTTATTCTTAAAAATGCTGTCATCCTGTATCTTCGAATTGGAACAGTTTTTTTAGAGTCACTGGCAAGCAAAGTGGTCATGGAATGGTCTAGAGAACGACCCTCTGAATGTTTGTTTCACGTTAGGAAACACCCTGTATATTGGAGATGATATATGGGATGAAACTGCTTCATGTATTTTAAGTGCGATGGCAATACACATTGACGTCTGGTGATCAACTTTGAGTGTTATGTGTTTTCTAAGAATACGTTAGAGTATATGTCCAACACCACGCTTAGTCAATTTGACGGTACAAAAAATTTTTCGTCAAGCTCAATTTGAAAGACTTGCACTATTATCTGAGTAGGTATACCTCAACGCAAATTTTTAAACTCCCCGTATCCGGTGGAAAGCTTCACTCTTCTCCTTGAAAGCATAATTGAATAATATTGCATCATACATATAGAGCTCCAATACTTTTTCCCCAGTGTCGACCACCGAATCTTGAAAAATGATGAGTGTTCTGACGGCAATCTTGGAAATAGGTTAGGGTTCATGGTTATTGGCTATGGTCATAAACTGAAAAATATGTCAATTGCTTTTCACGACAATAGACGCAAAACGTAAATACGAAAATAGATTACCTGTCTCCCAAATCTGTCTTTTCCCGTCTAAATTGGACATCGCTGCCATTGGAACATGAAATTACGTGTCTCATCATCATGTCAAACCATCCCCAGATAAAACAATTTCTTTACCCATAGGTGAAACACGTTACCTTTCTTAATCATCGACGATCTCAGTCACATTTATAACTTCTCAATAAGAAGATTCGTCAGAATAAGAACCTAAGCAGTTTTCATATTGCTCGTCCGTATACATTTATGTAGATACGTATCTGGATGGATGGTTTTGTGATTTCTATGTGGGTTCAGATAATACTGCAGACGCTAGCACCTCACATTTTATTCATTTTGTTTTATTTTATGTATGTGTATATGACGTGGGTGAATGTACTACATCACCGAAGCGTCATCACTGATATTTGTATTATTATATTATGATTCATGTCTGCAAGCTAACATTGCTGCCGAAGTCTTCAGTCAGTTCTCGTAATATTAGCAACACAGCTTCAGAATATGCTTGAGTCACAATGGAAAAGGTCTAGCTGACCATTGTTTCTAACTACATGTAATAGGACGATCGATTACTTTCAGTAAAGATAGACATCCAGCCGAGAAAATATAACATATAGGACCTCAATGATGTAATTCCTTTCTGAAAAATAGAAAACGGCACTGAGGAGCTGGGTCCATAACGATAAATTGGACGAACGATCAGAGGAAAACGTCCATCGTTGAACTTTTTACGATACCGTAAACTTCTAATAGACCGGTTACGTGTTCATAAAACTAAAAGTTTTCTTGTAACAGCCGCCGGCAGATAAATAATTAAGGAATTTTATTACCTTTTAGTTCCTTACGAAGCGACCGACTATAGAAAAATAGGTCCCAGTATAAAAGCTTTTTCAGGCGAACCTCGATATTTATTTTTATTTTATTTATTTACAAAAGAAACAAACAGTACTACGTTTTGTAATAAATATATCAACAATGTATGTATATCTAGCATGGAATTCAAAACAAGGCTAGTTAGGTTATAGAAGTACCTGTGACTTAACACTTGTGTTGTGCTTGTATCGTCAAACAAATATATTTTATATAGTTAGTAAAAAAATGAAAACGCTTAAATTAATGAAATATCAATATAACATGGGAATTCCCAATCAAAGCTTATTTAATTTCTAGTTACCTAACCCTCAAGTATTTGTAATGATCATTGTATTGTTTTATGGGTTTTGAAAACTTCTTGCTGTTAGTGACCTCATTTCAATCGGTAATATAAGCTTTCAGTGTAGTGTAATTCAAAAATTGGTGAGTTACAGCCCGACATATGTCTTGGTGTTATCATATACAGAGATAACATAGTGGGGGCTAATCTTATTTTCAAACACATACAAACAAATGTTTTTAATATAAATTGATGACAGGTTTCATATATCTGTGCGTAATAATAATATATTGGTATGATACAGCTTACTTTTTTGTATACGACTTTTAAACTCGAGTACCATAACAAAATAGAGACACAACAACGATATAATTATAAATAAACAAAATTGTCTTTTCAGATGAGCATTCTCGAAGCTGATAAGATATATATACTAGTTTTCTAACTTCATTGAAAATGAATGTAATTAACATGATTATTTCTTTCGTTAAAGGTTTTGGTCAATGGTTATACGTAAATACTTGAAATGTGATCCAACTTCTTTTATAGATTATTTTAAATCTTTGATGTATATATGCCTATCAGGTCTATTTGCATCTCTGATAGAAACTGCAACATTCACCATACCATCTTGAACAGCCTTTTTAGTTAGCTGTGTCATCAGCATGCGATACAGTTTTGCCACTTATGTCAAATTTCAACAGAGTGTTGACATATGTATGACGAGGAGAATAGGACCTAAAATAGTGGAACTCAAGTTTTAATAGTATCAGGATTACCTATGGTTTTGATCCATTTTACACGTTGTTCACGATTTGTTAAGTAACCGGTAAAGATATTCAAAAAAATTCCAACTCCCTGTATTTCGAAGAAGTTTTTTTTAATGATTTACAGGGTCGAATGCGTTTTTTAAGTCCAAAAATACTGCAACGCAGTTATTATTAGTAACTAATTTCACAAATGACAACATACATTGCATCGTTGGTTGATTTTCCTCTTTGAATGCCAACTGTTCAGCTAAAATGTAACAATTCGGTTCATCTTATCTGTTTTTATATGAGATGTCTGGTAAAATGCCTCACAACGATGAGAAACACGATTTATGCAGGGTGATACAAGTGGCATCCATGTTAACAACCTTTTTGTCCAAAGAGTAATATCTTACCTCTTACAAACATCCTGCTCTCAGCATCGCTGTCTGCGTTAGTGTGCAACAAGATTATTGACTATTATTGTGATAGAATTATCTAGTAGATTATATGTACTTCACATTTTTCAAGACGCGATTGGTCTTTCTTGAACTATGAGTTTTCTTCTGCATGAAACACACATTATACCCTTTTCCACTTTGAGGCTTTCATTTTCTATACAACGGGTATCAATTAAGTACCCTGTCAATCTTCAGATTATTATTCCTTAAGTGATTCTAAGAAGAAAAGTGCATACCGGAATTTCAAAAAAATCTCCCTCCCCCCACCTATTTTGAACAGGTCAGGTTAACAAGCTGAAATTCCGGATTAGAAGGATCACAGATTAGTAGTTTAACATTTTTTTAATGCAACGCTTTGTATTTTATTACATATTCGAAATTTTATTGAAGTCTACTGAGGGGTTAATACGATATTAAGATAAATAATAATAAAAAAGTCTGTATCTTGAAAATGAAGCTTATCCGACGTTTGTTAGTCTGAACTTTTCTTCCTGTAATCGTCCAAGGAATCAAAGCCTGAAGTTTGTCCAAGTACTTCATTAACACTGTGTATAATACAATCAAATCAATCCGACTATCCTTCTCCATTTCTCGATTAAAGCTTAAGTCAGGCAACCACGGATTGGAGTGAAGCTTTCTTAGTATCAATATACATATATATATATATATATCAATTATGGAGGTAAACTAAGCACTGGCAACAAAACTAAACTGACAATATGGGAACTGTTAACAATAGCCGAAATTTAAGTTGCGTGATCCGTAGCGTTTTTTTTTTTTTTTTGACGAAAGAGCAGTCGACAAAAGCTTTTGAGAGGGTTCGCCAAATAGCTCCTGAAAAATTATCTTACATGTATAACAAAATAAATATCAAGAAATTTTTCAAAATCGCATTTGCACTTTTCAAGAATGCGTATTTCGATATAATTGCGTCAAGAAAACTAATATTTTGCATACTTGCAAGAAAGATGCATTTGACCCGTAGTTAAGCAAGATCGGGCTAGCTTTAGGATTTTACAGTTATTTTTCCACATTCTGTATAAGATTCGCCAAAAATATATTATTCCCAGCAGCGGCTGTTTTGAACCGTTTTATATTGCATATCAGCGTTTTTCTATCTGTAATCGCTGTTTTTATTGTGTTTACTTTTAATTTTTGAACGCTGAATGGACCTGAGCTGCTTCCCGCACAAAATGAACGTTGTTATGCATGCAGGTCATGCCAAGCTAAGTGCTTTGCTGCACAAAAATGGATGCTGGAATATGAAAATCGTACTCATGATAAAATGGACGCTTCCCGGAATCATAGATAGAATGCCATTAGTATTTCAAAAGATTATCCGGGAACTCGACAAAATATAAATAACGAATGCGTTTACTATGGAATGTGTATCGATTCCATCTCTGTTTTCATGGGTTCAGCAAAACCTGTCTAGATTTAGGCTTGGGTGTGGAAATATGCGTACATCCTAAAAGAGCATTAGTACCACCTCGGACTGCCTTCTTTCGCATTTCATAGAACATGGAGGGCTTACACTGATCACACGGCTTCCTAATTCGATTTTCAAATTCCAAATTTTCATTGACATTTTGTTGAACCTACATAAATAAATAGTTAAATGAGTAAAATCTTTAGCCTTCTGTTTAAGTAGTAATAGAATATAACGAAACCCGACATTGATCCTTCTTTGTATTTGAAGCTTTTTACATATAATGTACAAGACGGCAACCACACAATCGGAATAATTCCGATTCGTAATAGCCAGTAATCTAATATTTTCTTCTTCTAAAAATACCACCTGAGATTCATAAATTCAGCTGTATGGCAAGAAATAGGGAGATTTGTCTAAGGAAATCCTACAGTTTTGATGACAGTAAAGTTTTTGGTGGTATCGCTAGATTATTGCTCTCTAATGCTTTCAAATTGGCGTTATGATAGGTCGGGAGCATTTGCCGCCATTGTAATAAAAGTCTTAGATCAAAAATCTCAGAAAGCGTCAATCCTCTGTAAAAAGTAATAAAAACAATTTTGTAGGGTACTATGTTCTTCATCATTTTGCGTCTATAAAGAATTGTAGTATAGTCACCAGATTACGAGAAATTAAAGGTTAAAGGTACATGTAATGATATTTCTGGTTATAATGGCTAAACTAAGAATCTAGGAGTAAAAAGCAGTACTTTTGTAAAATTTGCTATAAAAAGGTCTTTTACGTTTTTAGAAATCTTAATGGTTCTTGGAGTATCAGGAGGAGAAGTTAAAGATTCGTATCAAAACAATTGCGTGGAATATGTTCCACACGTACGTTGGCCACGTCATCCGCTTACAAGATTATAAATACATAATACCATTTTAAAGTAAACCCATTGTTACAACCTTGTAAAAATATGTAACTCGAAATATTTTTTAACTCTATTGTTGTTGCAGTTCTTGTTTTACCGCTCATTCTGTTAAACAAAGACTAAACACTTTTTGTCTTATTGCGTGAGTTTCTAATAATGTTATTATTATATGCCTTTCTAGTATCGTCAGGGTATTTTCTATATGCTTTCCTTTACATCCAGTCTGCTTGTAAAGAAATATAAATCTCGTGAATCACGTGTGATCCAACTATCAATCTTTTTTTGATGCAGTTTAGTCCTTTGCACTGGATAGTTTCTGTCAAAGTAATAAAATAACACATTGAAGGGTGAGGAAAGGTGAGGGAGGGGATAGTGATCAGAGATATCACATTCAATAAACTGATAAGAGCAGTTTTCCTCGGTAAAGACCGAAAAAACGTTATCAATGCATGTAGTAGAAACCGGTGTTACCCTTGTCATCGTGTTGATATGGCCATCAAGGCCATATGATTTGAATGTATTTATTAGTTGATTGGTGGAATCGTTTGAAATCACCACACAGTATAAGATGTCGCTTTACCTTATATAGCTTACCTAGCAGCAAACTTAAGGATTCTAAAAATATGACTCTCCGTTTGGAGGCCTATAAATACTTATTATAGTAACACTAAAATCACAGGACAATAATTCCGCACACAAAAATTCAAAATGTATGTCAAGTGATGCTATATTCATCTACCTTTTTTATTTTCAGACCAGTTTTAGCATATATTGCCGTACCACCACCCCTACTAGTTACCTCTAGACAAGAAGCACTTATCAAACACTATTTTATCTATCACATAAAGCAAAATTTCATGTTACGCAACTAATGTTCATTAATGCTAATAATATCTGGATTCATAACATTTAATAATATATTCAGTTCATTTATTTTATTTCTTATGCTTCAAACACTTGCATTAAGTAATTTAAACGCGTCCGATGTTGTCAATCTGGAATTAACCTCGTAACCGCAGTAATATTTGATTTGTAACTCATTTCATACCAGCAGTATGGAAGATGCAGTTGTTTAACTGCGAAAAAAACGGTTCCTTCGTCAACGATGTTTGGGGTTCATTAGCATCGACATTCAGTAGAGTAGCACCTGATTAGCTTCTAAATACAGTTTTTAATACAATCCTTGCACAGAGTCGTTACAAGTTAAAAAAAACTTCATTCAAAAGAAGTTTAGTCAGAATTCAGAAATTATTAGGACTATCGAACAACTGAATGGAAGTGCTGACAAATTTACGTGTAAACCTTTCTATTCGGGTGTTGATGAGATGGCCAATTTTTATGTCGCTTGGCTCACTGTACCAAGATACAACTATTAGGTTAGGTGTTCTTGTTAACGGAAGTAAACTTGTCAACCCTAGCTGTAGATATGATAAACTTCTAATGTTCGCTTTATAGTTTGTAGTTTTTAATGATTTACCCAATAGTACAGAAACATTTTTACCCACTTCAATGATAACGGTTACCTTATTTTCAATATTGGTGTTTGAACTCACTACGATTAAGTCGAATATCTCTTTTGGAACTTCACTAATTAACTGGACAGTTTCTTGCCTTGAGATCTCCTCAGTACCTCTGGACAGTTTCCACTGTATAGTGATACGGAAAATTGCTTTTCTGCTCTTCCTTGCTATTTGCAGCTGTGATTTTGTTCACACCATGCGCATTGTCATGATTACTGTACATTTTGTTTTGTTCTTCTAGTATTCGATTTCCCACGTTAAAACGAGTTGTATGCTGACACGTGGACGACGTAAGTGGGGTGATGAGTATGTCGCGAGACTGTTCGCATACAAATTTTTAGCTTTCGTTTCTCAAACTTGAAGAACCATTACGGTGATGAGAAAACGTGAAGGTTCTTTGTTGTAGACAGGTTATCAGTTTAGCGATTATAAGCAAGACTATTATAACATGTATCTTTACCCTTAAATTTCTCGTAACATGTTGACAATATGACACATTTTTATAAAAGCAAAATGATGAAAAAACTAATTCCATACCAAATTGTTTTACTTACTATTTAACATCGATATTCTGGATCAAAAGCATTTGTCAAAATGGCGGCAAATGCTCCAGCCCTATCATGACGTCAATTTGTACTTATCTTTAGGAAGCACTAATCTAACGATTCGTCAAAAAAAAATTACTGTCGCCAAAGTTGAAGAAAAAATTACCTATTTCCTGGCCTACTGTATACGCTCAAAATATTTGACTTTTTTGCAAAAAACATATCAGCTGTCATTTTTCAGAACAAAGAATTTACTATACTTTCACAATTGCAATTGGAATTTTTCAGTGTGGGAAAACGAAGGCGAAGGTCTTTTGCTGGGCTCCTCTACAATTAATCAAATGAGAGTCAGCGCTCGAGAACGTTTTCAAACAGATATTATCGTTTGTCCCGAAATACGATTCTATGTTGCACTTACCTGCCGGATGTTCCAATGCTCTTTGGAGGTCACTAGTGTAGGATGGGAATTATAATTACCAGAGGATTAGAAAAATTTCCGGACTCTACACGAAAAAATATTAGTTGATCTCTGGAAATACGTTTATTCTTCAATATGTTCTTTCTTTGAATATACCTTTTTCAGCGATCTTCCATTTAATTAATAGCTTGTCTGAAGTGATTCTTTTGAACACGTCAACGTCAGTTATAACTTCATCCCCTAGATTCCTTAGAGCATAAAAACAAATGCAAATTTATCCATATATTGTTGGGAAAGTCTAACTCAAATTCGTTTTTGATCCAACGTTAACGAATGCAACTACCTTGTCAATAGCGTTCTAGTATCTAATTCATTTTTGAGAATATCAAACAAAACCAAGTATTTCATTTGAAATCATTAAAACATTTGACTTCGTTGACATTTAACCTACCGTATGTAGTCCACGAAATTCCGTATAGGGATTCCGATTCCGGAAATTCAATTGAAAAACCTGGTCAAACCCAAATCCTAAAATGCTATACAACCACCCATCAATCGAGTGTAAGGGATCCCTTATTACTTGGATAATCAATTGAATGAGAAGAAATTCGATTCCAACTGTATCATCTTCCAGTACCAGCATTGATCCACCCAGCTCATTAGGATTTATATTCTAACAAAAGAGAAATATTTAGTTATGGAAATATGGAAATCAAAACAGACAATTTCGCAATAAGACTCCAAAACACGTTTTGCGCAATTCAATGTTTTGTATTCTCTATCACTAGTCTCTGCTTCTCACTCAAAAATCCTGAGTTTGCAACTCTTCCCCCCCCCCCACATAAAAGCACCTGTAGACTACAGACCTAAATTACTGGAGTCGTCGATCGATAAAATATTCCTCTCTACCTGCATATTAGGGACAGCTTGATTGATATGCTCTATTTTGGAACTTCATTATTCTCCAACTGCTCAACTACTAATCATGTTCTAACAACCGGTATCACGGCTTGTAAATGTATTTTGTGTCACGGTATAAGCTATATTAGTTCTCACCCACTACGCATTCATGTAACAGAAAAGTCTTATTCCACATACTTCCTGTTTGTTTGTTGCTTGTCAAGCATTGACGCATCTAAGGGGCAATAGTTCTTCCAGAAGCTGGAAAATCAGTGAATGAGCAAGAAAAATGGTTAATCAGCATTTGATATCCAATATAGAATGTCTACCCTGACACTTTCTAACCTTCCCTCTGTAAGCAGTTTGACCATAGAAGATTTTGCAGAAAACACCTAGGCATTTTATCTACAGATCGGTCGATTTAAGATTTTCGCCGGTACCGAAAATTGGCCAATACCGATATTTCAGATGCCGATATATTTTCGTTATTGGCCTATCGAGTGTAGCTTCGTTAGGATGAGTACATCAGCCTGAAACAAATCTATTAGCGACTACACACAAAGTATAGTTGTAGGCTTGTATACGGTTTTTGTACAGCTATACACGGAGGACTGGTGACTACATACGTAAATGTATCCTTGACAACTATACTGCCGTCATAAGCCAGAAGGTTGCATCTGCTATTTTTACATTTTACAGGAACGATGAAAACGTGTTTTAACCCTTCTCGAATTGTAACGTTGTAAGGAAAAAGAATACTTTTGGTTTGTACACGATTAAAATTGATATGTTCTAACGAATTCATCAATTTTACCAAAGATGCCTATGTATTAATAAAAAAGCATGTAACTTCTAAATTATCTGTACTGCGGTTTC